AACATTTGGCACACTTCAAATGTAACATATAAATCCTACGAAAAATGCTGGTTCTGCCCCTCCCTGCAAGGAGTTGGGTGTGGCAGCAGGATTTGCTGAATGGCCCACAGAGACAAAGTGTTATTGCCTGAGCAAATGCCCTGTGGTGTATGCAGCAAGTTCTTACTGTATATGAAACAGTCATGTGATTCAGCACAAGTGGTTGCAACGTTCATGGCATATTCTTGCACCTTTGAGAAGGCACTCCTGTGCCATTATGTCTTTGTGTGTACAGAATTTTGCACATGTGTTTGTACATGTGCATTTGTTAGTAGACCTGCAAGAACCATTATCACAAACCCTTTGGTTAGAGCATTTATTTGATGCTACAGGGCTAATTAATATCAGGCCATTCTGCAGGTTCCTGTCTCTTATAAGAAATATTCAAGCTTTTCAGGGTGGGGGGTCAATAAAGAAAAGAATACAATAAACAATATTATTTAGTTACATTGCAGGATGTTTTCTAATTGAATGCTAGCATGCAGAAACATTAGCCCTAATAATTTTGAGAAGGGTAAACTTGTGTTCATACAAATAGTCCCCTCCCACCAATGCTCCCTCTAAGCTGTGGAGTCTCGTGAGCAGAAATTCTACTTTGTGAGCTACTGGTATTAAAGTTGTGAGCAAGTGATTTGGCTACTGCATAAATTAATTTGCTCTGGAGCCATCCTTCCTGAGTTGAGACAAAAATGTGTGAGCTGGAGGCTAAAAAACTGTGAGCTAGCCCACACTAACTCAGATTAGAGGGAACACTGCCTCCCACCCATGTTGAGAATTACTTTGCAGGTAAGGTTAGTACTTTCTTGTGCTAAAATTAGTTTGCAGTGTAAACAGTGTAGAACCTGAATTCAGTACAGACTCCAACAAAATGAACATTCTTTTAGGCACTTAATTAACATGAAATAACCATCATGTGGAAATGACCATTTACAAAGCCAGTGCAAGGCTTTACATGGACATTTAGAGCACGAATTTGTCTAATGCATCTAGTTTAGTTAGAAGACTCTCATTGCAAGAATTTTTATGTGGAATTTACTACCCACCTGAGTCAACCTGACTTTATTGCAATGGCAATTCACTGATGCCACAGCCACCTTGTAAATAAGATAAGTCATCTTAGTTGTGCATCTTGGATAAATATCTTTAAATAAATAACAAGTCTGCTGTGCAAACATCATTCAAAAATGCAATTAAACTTAAGACTTACTCTGTGCAGTAAAAATATGAAACAGCACCGAAGCCAGGGATTTTCAAATGAAGGTTCCCTTCCAAGCTTGATAGCCTCAAGGTCATACTGTGGGGACTTCATTTTTCACAGTCAAAAGACTGATTTAGTAATAATGGTGGTAGCGGGCAGTACCTGTGCCTTTAGTATAATGATATTCAGTGTTGTGTTGGATAATGTATGGCCCATTCTTATTCATGTTTTTCATTGCAGCCACATAAAGTGGATTCATTTGTTAGAAGCTCCCTTGCATATTATTAAGCACAATGCAACCCCCGAAAAAACCCAAAAGCTGCATAACATTTTTATTGTAAAGTGTGTATAAATTGTTATATTCAATAGCCATGGGCTGAACCCTATGAAGTTAGCTGTACCTATACAACAAGGCTAGGCACAGTGACCATTAATAGTTCTGCGAACACACCCAGGTTTGCAATCAAACAAACAAACAAAAGCTTTGTTTAAAAACCCCCTATTTTAGGGATAACCCTACTTCAGTTTAACATCAGTCCATGCACAGATATTGCAAAAATTAAACTGCTGGAACTCGTTGCAGCAAAATGGTGCATGAAAATTGGTAGTGGTGGCCAGGAGAGGAGGAATGGTGGGCAACAGGAGCCACTGGGGAAGGCGGGGCATGGTGTGCTGTAATCAGCAATGAGCCAGAGCTAGTGGACATGAGGTCAAGGGGGGATCTGAGGGTGAATGGGGAAGGGCAAAAAACAGGATTTTTCTTCCATTCTTTCTTTACAAAATGTTTATCTCACCTTTCTGCCCTCATCAGAAAGAAGAGATTGGATTTATACCCCGCCCTTCACTCAGAGTCTCAGAGCGGCTTACAAACTCCTTCCCCTCCCCACAACAGACACCCTGCGAGGTAGGTGGGGCTGAGAGAGCTCTTTCCAGAACTGTCCTTTCAAGAACAGCTCTGACAGAACTATGGCTTGCCCATGGTAATCCAGCAGCTGCAAGTGGAGGAGTGGGGAATCAAACCTGGTCCTCCCAGATTAGAGTCCGCATACTTAACCACTACACCAAAGGAAAGAAGAGGGAGAAAGAAAGCAAATAGATGAGGGAGCGGGAGGAAGGAAGGAAGGAAGGAAGGAAGGAAGGAAGGAAGGAAGGAAGTAGATGGGGGAGGGAGGGAGGGAGGAAGGGGAAAAGAGAGAGAGAGGAAAGAAGCAAATATATGGGGAGGGAGAGGTGAGAAAACAACTTTAAATATGTTCTCCAACCCCCCATGCCAGCAGGTTTGGCTTGTATAAGGGATTTAAAGAGACAAATGCCTTCTCCAAGCCAGCAGGCAGGGCCATGGGGTGGGGGCTTGGAGAACACCTTTAACTTTAAATGTGTTCTCCAAGCCCCCTGCCCCTGCTGCTGTGCCAGCTTGACTTGGAGAAGGGATTTAAAGAGATGAATGCCTTCTCCGAGCTAAGCCAGCCAGCCAGTGTGGCAGGGCTTGGAGAACACATTTAACTAGATGGGGAGGGAGGAAAGGAGGGAAGAGAGAGAGAGAGAAAGAAAGAGAAAAAGAAAGAAAGAAAAAGAAAGAAAAAGAAAGAAAGTGGAAAGAAAGCAAATAGATGGGAGGGAGAGGTAAAAAGAAAGCAACTTTAAATACGTTCTCCAAGCCCCCCCTCCCCCACTGGTTGGCTTGGAGAAGGGATTTAAAGAGACAAATGCCTTCTCCAAACTGGCTGGTGGTGGGCGGGGGGGGGGCTTTGCGAACACATTTAAAGTTAAAGTTGCTTTCATTCTCTGCTCCCCCCACCTCAAGCCTACACAGGGAGGGGAACACTGGCTGGGGAAGGCAAGACTGATCAGGAAGGCATGCCTCACCTTTACTTCCCCAGCCACCCTGCTGGGAGCTGCACAATATGGGTGCGTTCAGACGGGGGATTTACAACGGAATAGGTGACGGTTCCAACCGGTGTACTTACCGGCGTTCACACAGCGAACATCTGCCGTCCCTAACCGTTGTAAACAGCTTTACACCGTTGTACTCTGCCACTAGGTCCCCAAGTGGTGGTATCCTGAGTACAACGGTTGTAATCGCTGTACCCCTCCGTCTGAACGCTCTCCAACGTTGTACAGGCACTTCCGTTTGGAAGCCTGAGGCTTCCGCTTTTTGCCCGCCATTTTATCTAGGTTGGCGATATGCGCTTGGGCGAAGCTTCGCCCCGTTGTTAATAAAGAAATTAAAAGGTTGTTATGTGCTTCTGCAAAGCCGCCTCTCCTCTTCCCCTGCCCACCGCTGCTGTTGCTGCTGCTGCAGCCGCTTTTGCTCTGGCTGCGGCTGCAGAGTGTTTTTCATGATTCCGCCCTGCCCTCCTCCTCCTCCTCCCTCCTCCTCCTCGGCTGCTGTGGACTAACTCTCCTCCTCCAGGGCAGCGGCGAGGGAGGGGAGTTCGTCAATGGGCAGCCGGCGGCGGGCCTGACTCACGCATGCAAAAAAAAAAAGAGGGAGGAGAGGTGGGAGGGGGCGACGCAAGTGCAAGGATCTACGCTTCCTCCCCTGCAGGAGCCGGCAGCTCCTCCCCGGGAGACTGCCTGTCCGGGCTCCCTGCCCGGCCTCGTTTGCCCGTGCTCTTCACCCACCCCTCCCTCCTTCCCGGCTCCATTTGCTGTCAAAAAAACAATAAAACAACAGCGCACGCGCCCCGAGAGCCCAGCGGCAGCCGATCGGCTTCATTAGAAGGAAGCCTGCCTATGCGCATGTGCAAACTCTGTAAAAATAAAATTTAAAATGTCGATGTGCTCTCCTGAGTGCCTGAGGTGTGGACGGGCATATTGCGATGTGCTGGAGGTGAGTGTGATCGCGTTTCAACCGGCATAAACTGCAACAGTTTATGCCGGCTGAAACGCCCCGTCTGAACGCACCCTATGTGTGAAAGAGCCGCATGTGGCTCCTGAGCCACAGTTTGGCCACCCCCGATTTATTGCCATGGCAGAATGGGGATCTGAATCTTCATCTCCCAGATTCTGGTCCAGCACTTTAAGCACTACATGGCACTAGCCATTGTTAGTATAATCCCAAACTAAAAATTTGTTTTGCCTCATAGAAATTAATTAAAAGGGAGGAAGAATATTCAAATTTTAGACAGATGCTATTCCATATGGCCTTGTCCTGACCATAGAATAGAGTCCCATTTTAGCAGCACAATTTAAAACAGCACAGATTGGATGGGCTACAAGAAATCAACTCCTTAGAAACATCAGCTAGTGGAAAGAAACCTGGCACAACAAGCTGCCAGTAGACCTGGTGAGAATATACATGCATAAAGGAATGAGACTGATTCCTGAGAATGATTATTAATATCTTTCATTGTATGATGTAACCATATACTGGACATTTTAAAGGTCTGTAACTCATGTTCCATTATGTTATTTCATCCTCATAATGGAGGCTTTTCATTATAAAAAGACTACCTTTACTTTTCTTTCTTTCCCGTATGCCATTTTGGCAGACAATACCTGCATTTGGAAAGTCACCAAACTCTTACCTTGCAAAATAAAGCTGAGAAAGTCAGCAATGTTTTTGCCATTATAATCTTTTTTAAAAGGCCATTTGGCTTTTTTAAACAGTTCTCTGGGAACACTGATGTCATCTAAACCTAATAATAGCAATGGCAAACATTTGATTTTAGAACGTCTTGGCTGGACAGCACATGCAAACGGGTGATCTACGGAGAAGGCAGCTTCAGCACTTGGAAAGAAATATCAGGAAAAAGTGTACCTGCATGACAATAAGAAGGTCAAAGACTAAGATGAAGGAAGCCAAAAAGGCCCTGGAAACTTCATCGCTTGGCAGGAATCCACGATTGAGCTTGTCCCAGTTGATCCAGTCAGTTGTGATGACAAGTACAACCACTGAGGTCAAAGTAAACAGAACAGTCCTGAAAACAACAGAAAGTAAGAAGAGTTCACCAAAACATATGGTAAGGTTGTTCTGGTTTATCCTGCAAATAGTTTTAAAATGAGGTGCTTCTGGACAATGGGTTGGAGCCAGTGTTCCCTCTAAGCTGAGTCAGTGTGAGCTAGCTTACAGTTTTTTAGCTTCTGGCTCACACATTTTTCTCTTAGCTCAGGAAGGATGGCTCCAGAGCAAACTAATTCATGCGGTAGCCAAATTGCTTGCTCACAACTTTAATGCCTGGAGCTCACAAAGTAGAATTTTTGCTCACAAGACTCCAAAGCTTAGAGGGAGCATTGGTTGGAGCCAGCCATTTTTAAAAATTCACTTAATTCTTCTCCTTACTACAGCCCCCATTCCACATGGTTTTTGTCCATGCAGGTTCCAAAATCCTCCAAGTTGCTTTTGTGATGGTCAAGGGAGACCTCTCCTCCCTTTTTCAATAGAACAGTTGGTTGGATTCATCTGGGAGAATCTAAATATGGCTTTAAAAACTGCCTAGTTAACAAAAATGTAAAATGATCACTGACCTAGAGGTGCATAGGCAGACACAAGACTCACCCACTAATGTATGTGTTTAACACATTTTAACTCAACCCAAGCAGCCTGAGGACCCGAGCATAGCCTGGGCTTGTCACAGCTTGGGAGTTAAGCAAGACTAGGCACAGTCACTACTTTGGTGGGACACCAAAGTTGTAGTTGTAGTGGTGGGACACCAAAGTTGGAGTTGTAGTGGATAACTCACTGAAAATGTCGAGACAGTGTGTGACTGCAATAAAGAAGGCCAATGCTATGCTGGGGATTATTAGGAAGGGTATTGAAAACAGATCAGCCAATATAATAATGCCCCTATATAAATCAATGGTGATTGATTTAGCCCTGGGAATTCCTCATTTGGAATACTGTGTGCAGTTCTGGGCACCACACCTTAAAAAGGATATTATAGCTTTGGAAAAAGTGCAGAAAAGGGCAACTCGAATGATAAAAGGGTTGGAACACTTTCCCTATGAGGAAAGGTTAAAGCGCTTAGGGCTCTTTAGCTTGGAGAAAAGACGACTGAGGGGTGACACGATCGAGGTTTATAAGATTATGCATGGGAAAGAGCAGGTAAAGAAAGAGGTACTTTTCTCCCTTTCTCACAATACAAGAACTCGAGGGCACTCCATGAAACTGCAGAGCGGTCGGGTTAGAACGGATAAAAGGAAGTACTTCTTCACCCAAAGAGTGATTAACACATGGAATTCACTGCCACAGGAAGTGGTGGGTGCTACAAGCATGGACGGCTTCAAAAGGGAATTAGATAAGCATATGGAGCAGAGGTCCATCAGTGGCTATTAGCCACAAGGTATAGCTAGGGGCTCTGGGGCAAGTGATGCTCTGTCTTGGTGCTTGGGGGGGGTCAACAGGGGGAGGGCTTCTAATGTACTGGCCTCACTGCTGGACCTCCTGATGGCACTGGTATTTCTGGCCACTGTGTGACACAGAGTGTTGGACTGGATGGGCCTTTGGCCTGATCCAACATTGGCGTCTCTTATGTTCTTATGTTCTTAAGACGGGGATTGCTATGTATAGAAAGGCAAACCTCTTGACTGGAACGCCTTGGGGATGGGGTTGCCATGAGTCAGTTGCGACTCAATGGCATGTTCATCTCTTCTTCTAACTCAACCCATCTATCATTTCAGCCTGTCTCCACCAAGATGACTTTGATTGGGATTCAAAACACAATAAGTTTAATAGCTATAAATCAATTAAAATGCAGTAAAAAAAAACCAACGGAAATAATTAATAATCTTAGATGCTCCTAGTAAAATGTTCACAAAGGGCAGATATTTACAAAGTGTCACAAGTTTGCGTGAATAAAAATATCATTAATGGATATAAAAATGTCAGCAACATAGACGCCTGGCCTTGGAGGGACATTTCATAATTTGGCACCCACTGCTGTGCAGGGCCATGTTCCTGGTACCCATCCACTATCGTGGACACATGGAACAGGGTTCTGTTTCCCATAAGTAAAATTAGTATTTTGCTCTTTATTTCTTCCCAAAAAAAAAAAGTCTGTTCCACCAAACATGAAACATGCAGAGAGAAAGAAAGGAGCCACAAATCCATCAGTCATCACATCCATCATATGTATCATCTATTTGGTGGATGGGGGACTGCATATGGATACCATATGTTCCCACCAGATAATAGCACCAACTATTTCTTTATCAGGGGAATGTGCAAGGTCTCTGCAGCCATGAATGAACAGACCAATGGAACCAAGATCTTCACTTCCACACTTCCCAGAAGTGTATCCAACTGAAAGCAATTATAATTGTACAAGAATAACAAGTTTATTAAAAATGACAGCACCATTTTGAAAGGAAACCCCACCCCCTCCTCAGCTTCCAGTGGGTACTGTAAGTTTAGCAGAGGGTGAAATCATTCTCAGCAACAATATTAATACTCATACTTATTTATATAGCGTCTAATAGCCAGCCATTAAGGAAAGGAAAGGAAAAACAATAAATGATGACCCCGTGCCTTGAGACCACACAATAGCAAGTAGGGGAATTAATTGGTTATGCTGAGATTGGCACAGATGCCTTTTTTTGTGTGATCCTTCCCCCTTTAAAAACCTCTCACAAAGTGGGCAATTTTGTGGAATGTCCACATCATACCTTACTTTAGAAGAGTAGTGGAGAAAAATGCCTGGGCTACTCCTGCACTTCATGAAGATTTTAAACATCTAAACAAGACTGTGAAATATCCAGCAAAGAGAAGACAAAGGAGGGGGCTTTCACATCACCTCACCACCAATGTTCCCTCTAAGCTGTGGAGTCTTGTGAACAAAAATTCTACTTTGTGAGCTACTGGCATTAAAGTTGTGAGCGAGTAATTTGGCTACTGCATAAATTAGCTTGCTCTGGAGCCATCCTTCCTGAGCTAAGACAAAAATGTGTGAGTCAGAGGCTAAAAGACTGTGAGCTAGCTCACACTAACTCAGCTTAGAGGGAACATTGCTCACCACTCATACAACACAATTCTTTTCACTAGAGACTGTTCATAGATTCACCAGAGAGCATAAAAAGACCCTGTTGGAGCAGACCAATGATCCTTCTAATGAGCATCCTGTTTCAACACAGTGGTCAACTAGTTCCCTTGGAGTGCTAAACACAGCACAGAGACCAAAGTCTTCCCTTGATGATGCCCTGGTATTCATAGGTTAACTAACCCTAACTGTGGAGTTTCCCTTTAATCCTCATGGCTAATTACCATTGATGGATGGCAGTTAATCCCACAAATTGAATGCTTGTTGAGTGAAGAACTATTTCCTCTGGTCTGTCCTAAATCTATTGTCCATAAACGTCATTAGGTGCTTTTGAGTTCTCATGTTATGGGAGGACTGCAACCAGTAATAAGAAAAAAATTGTCTCAGATGATGAGATATCTTCAAATGATATCAACTGACAAGCAGCTCCCTTAGTTTTTACTTGAAGGTCACTTATTAAGTAAATTACATTTTGGAACATTCTAGTTGCTGGGGAGGGGGTCCTGTCTTCATTTCTGATTTCTGGGCCATAGGGAAATGACATTATTGTCACATCATGAAATAGGTCTCAGTTTCCTCCTCCTAAATCCTTGGGGGTATTCTATGAACTTCTTGATCCCTGTCTCAAGAGCAATGCACTTAGGAAGCCTAAGCAACTTAGTATGACTATAATGACTATAAGTCATTTTGTTAGGACTTTTTGCTCAAATGCTAATAGACTAAGTAAATTCATTAAAAAAGCATCTACTTGAGTAAACCACACTCTAACAAATGAAACCCCTGTTTTTTTGAGAAGCATAATTTAGGCGGCTCATAACATTTCGCCACACAACTATTAAATTGCTTGTTTGGGGCTGTTTCTCCTTATTAGCTGGGAATCTCTCTTCCAAATGCTCTTTGAAAATGTTCAGACAGTGGAAGAGAAAAACAATCATTTTGGATGTCAATGGACATGTGTTATTATTAAATGTGTGGGTGTATGCACAAACAGCAAGTAAGCAAGTCAATGTTTGCTTTGGTTACCAATTGTGATTCTCACATTTCTCTGAAGGCATCTCTCCATTTATTTATTTCAATGAAGGGGAAAGGGAGTAGATTTCAAGAGTACTTTCTTTGACATTCAAAACGATGACCAGTACACAGTGTGACTAAAAATCCATCTGCCCAAGAAGCTACACACAACTGCAGATAATATGAAATCTAATGATAGCAAACAGAATTAGACTTGCTGGTGGAAAGTGCCATCAGGTCACAACTGATTCATGGCAACCCCATATGGTTTTCAAGGCAAGAGATGTTCAGAGGTGTTTTGCCATTGCCTGCCTTTGTATAGTGACCCTAGACGTCCTTGGTGATCTTCCATCCAAGTACTAACCAGAGCTGACCCTGCTTAACTTCTGAGATCTGATGAGATCACATCAGCCTGGGCCATCCAGGTCAGGGTGGATTAGGCTTATACACATCTAAAGAATACTTGTTTACAGTATTCAGATAGAAGCCATGACATGTTGCCATATTATTCATCAGATACATACTTGGATCATGATCTAGTATGCACATTTTCTGGTCACATATGGATAGTCTAGTCACCTTGGATCACAACTTTTCAAGCCAATCATACTGTCAGGGGAAAGAATTTCACAACAATAAGCAGGGCTGGCTTCTGAGCCCAGGGGTCAGTAAGGAGCCCAGGGGGTGGGGGCACATGCAGCAACCCCCTTCCCCAAGAGAGAAGGCACGGGCCTGGCCTTGTTTGGCCCTGCCCCTCCCAGTGAGGCCTCCCACCTTGCCACGGGACCGGCTCCCATGGCCACCAGTGTCCTTCCTGCCTGCTAGCCATCCGACCCTGCCTCCCCATCTCCTGCCGCAGAGTGCCGGCTCCGAAGGAGAAGCCTGTCGACATGGTGGCATTGGCGAGGAAAGCCCCGCCAGGCTACTGCAGGGCT